TCACAGCTCAAAATAGAGTTATTGTGGTAGGATGTAATAGATCTAGACTATGATCGGCTGTAAACTAAAGCTCCTTGAAAATATAAAAATAAAAAGCTAAATTAGATTGCTGAAAATTTTGCGCAACTTGTTTCCTTTTTTTGTCTATGTTTTTTTGGTAATTATTCACATTTCGAACTGCTCTTGAAGGACGAAGATACAGTTTTCAATCGCTGGAGAAATATTCAATTGTACTGGGTCCAGTGTTCTGGTAAAAGGATTCACCTCCATTATGCCATGGTTGGCAGTAAATGAAAAAAAATTACCTCAGTTTCTGAAGGGACAGAAAATAGAAGTTGCAAAAGTGGATCTTTATCAGGTAGCGCAAGTGGCTTCTGAAAACATTACTAAATTGCTATCGATTTCTGTGCATTTCGTGTTATTTCTGCATATCATCTTGAAATTCTGCTTATCTCTGTTATTCAAATCTATTAGTTATTAATTTAAGGATTTAATAAACAATTTCTACAAAAAAAAATGGGACATGAGATATGCTCTTGGTTCTATAACAAGAAGTGCAATTAGAGATGGATGAGCAACCACCTGTTAGCCACCATTCTTACTGAAAATACTGAATGTATTTACTGAACAATGTTTCGTACTTTTCCTTCTTATTTTTAGACAAGAAACAAAGTTTGGACTGAAATTAACAAAGGAGGAAATAAAGAAATCTCTCAATTCATACTAATACCATTGAAAGAGTAATTTGCAAGAAAAGAGGAAGCAAATACCGATGAGAAGATTTAATCTTGGCTAAATCAAAGTGTTCTTGCCAATCTAGATGCTTATCTTAAAAAATCTTCTGATTTTGTTCAAACCAAACCTAAAAAATAATAGCTTGACAACATTATAAACCAAATCAATTGAGCTTTAGATACAGTAAAGAACGATATAGCAGCTGAGTGTTATCTCTAGAGTTATAGTTAAAAACCCACCGTACATGGAAAATTCTGAATAAGAGATGTTGACAATCCATTGAATAGAGGCAATGCAAGAACATGCAAATTTGGTCCTCATCAGCCATCAAAGATGAGTATTTGTTATTCCGATTACGTAGGAGTGCATGAAAAAACCGAAAAAACTACTTAAACCCACCAAAACCCTTGTTGTTATGGATTGGAATAGGTTGGGTTCTGTGGTTCTGATTTGCATATAAAGAAAACCTGATATACGGTTGCTTTGGGTTTGACAAGTCTAGATCGAGTGTACCCAAGTCGACCATAATATTTATGTTAAAAATTGAAAAATCTATCAAATAACATTAGCAATTCTGTTGACTTTAAAATAAATCTTGTAACTTCAAGGTTACGAGTTTGAGCCACATGAATGCCTTTTATTTTTACGATGAATGATCCCTTCTGTCCAGTCTACTCAACGACCCAAGTCAGCACCAGCGCTAGCTGCCCATTGCTAACTTAAGGCGCTTATGCCTAACACCCTTGCATGCTTGGGATTAACCAAATAGCAAACCGCTGTACTAAATCAACTAAACCATCGATTCAATTCAGGGAGATTTTCTTATGCATTTGTGGTGGTTCGGGTTGCATTAGCATTCGAACAGAGTTGAGCTGAACTAACCAATTACACTCCTAGTATTGAGCATCAATTTTCAGTAACTACGAATGATTTGTACATCTTATACCTGTTGAACATTAATTTTCAGTTACTGTTCTTTCCTGTTGAGGTATTTAGAAATTAATTATGCCCGAGGTATTTATATGTGTGGTATACATTTTTTTTATTTTTTATCTTGCATGCTCCACATGCATTTATGTCAGTGTCATAGACCGATGCTACATTTTCATCTTCATACTCTTTAAAATTTGCAGGGGAACACCTCGCCTCCTGATTATTTAAGTGAGAGTGAGTTGATTTCTCTCATGGAGAAGCATGGAATAGGCACGGATGCATCAATACCTGTACACATTAACAACATAGGCGAGCGCAACTATGTGCAGGTTAGTATCCTGCTGCTGATATGATAGTTTGGCATGAAATATTATCAGTCTTTCCTTGGCTATTTAGTTGCATCGTTATTTTGCAGGTTCAAGCTGGGAGGAGGTTGGTTCCAACTAACTTGGGCATCACCTTAATCAGAGGTTATCAGTGTATTGATCCAGATCTCTGTTTACCAGATATTAGAAGTTTCATCGAGCAACAGATCACTTTTGTTGCCAAAGGTCAAGCAGATCATTTTAGTGTTGTGCAGAATGTACTACAACAGTTCAAGCAAAAGTATAGCTACTTCGTTAAGAAGGTTATTTTCCACTATGCATGCTTACACTACTAGTGGATACATCATACGTTATCAATGAAGCATTAGAGGCTTATCGTTCTTTTCTTCTTCTTTTTTCTTTTAAATAAATTTGTTTATTACATAAATCTCATTCTCAAGGTTTCCTTTTTTTTAAAAAAATACTTGTACCTATACATGTTCTTAAGTTTTCTTTTTAGTTATTTAGGTGATTGCAGATATGAGACATCTGAAAAAGGCTAATTCCGATATTGTTTTCCACTATTTTCTTCCGCTCATTGATTTCATTAAGACGAATCCTCGATTTCATGTTTGTTGCAATTCAAACGGTGGTAGAAGATGACTTGAGTTATATCGGACAAAGGATGAAGAATAGATTTTCAAATTAGACTTTGCAAAGGGTCAAGGATAGAACCGGTTGGAAATTTTTAATTGTGAGGTGTTGAAAAAGAAAAGTTTTGGGGAAATTTGGCAAAACGGATGAAAGGCAGTGCTTATAGACTAAATTTTCAGTATTCCTTGAATGAAGACCGAGAGGGTTTCTACTTCTTCTAGGGAACTGACAAAAACAGATCCTTTATCTCCATTTATATTTTTTTAATGTGAAGAATGTATCTAGTAAACCTAACATTATGTGCCTATTTTCTTTGCCAATAAAATTTTCGTTGGTGATAGAGTGACATTAGAATTTATTAATTAATTAATTAATTAATTTATTATTATTATTATTATTATTTCAATTTTAGAGGATGTGGAGAATAAAGCTTTCTTCTTCCATTATTCTAAAGCATGGCATCTGGAACCAGGCTTTTTAACTTCTCAATTGGTGCAATCAAACCTGTAAAATTGCTTCTTATCTTGTTCAGATTGATCATATGGATGCTCTGTTTGAAGCACAATTTTCTCCTCTTGCGGAGTCGGGACGTGCTTTGAGCAAATGTGGCAAATGCCTACGTTATATGAAGTTTATTTCTTCCCAACCACAGCGCCTGTACTGTGGTACATGTGAGGAGGTTTATTATCTTCCTCAAAGGGGAGCAATAAAGGTAATTATCCCACTAAGTCTTGCCACTTCTTTCCGTTGATTGTACATACTCTTCAACTTTCTTGTTTCACGCTCTATATACAGTTTTTTAAGATATTTTCTTATTGTACCCTCATTTTTTCCGAAGTTGTGGTAACTGCAGCTGAATTACCTTGACGACTAACAGTACCATTTCATATATATTATTTCTTTTACATGCAGTATTTGGATTATAAGCATTTTCGACCGTTGTTGCATGCCTTCAACTTCATTTTGTTCCATTTTTTCTTTCTGATTGTACTATTTATGAAGGATTCACTTTCTTTACTTAGTAATCATTGTTAATAATTCGTCTTAATTGCTGCTGAAAATTCATTGCATGTATCACTGTTATCGTTGATGGCTGCTCTTAAACATCGTGTTCAACTGAGGTTGATCACTTATGGCATAAATGCTTTTAAGAATTCTCGGTTGATTATAAGAGCTCTCTGATTATCATCCTAAATTTTACTATTTCTTTTCAGCTGTACAAGGAACTTACATGCCCTTTGGATAACTTTGAGCTCTTGATTTTTTCCTTACCTGGTCCAGAAGGCAAGTCATTTCCTCTTTGCCCATACTGCTACAATAGTCCTCCATTCGAGGGTATTGACGCATTATACGGTGCTGCTAAAACCAACCCGAGTTCCGGAGCATCGAGCAAGGGAATGGGCATGCCATGCTTCCTGTGCCCGCACCCAACATGTCGACATTCTTTAATAACCCAAGGAGTTTGCGCTTGCCCGGAATGTAGCGGGACGCTTGTCCTAGATCCAGTGGGTGCACCCAACTGGAAACTCAACTGCAACAAATGCAATTGTCTTGTCTTCCTTCCTCAGGGTGCTCATAGGATTGCCACCACAAACGAGAAGTGTGCTGAATGTGACTCTACAATTATAGAAGTGGACTTCAACAAGAAAACTACTCCATTGGAGGGTGGAGCTACATTGTTTGTTGGGTGCATTCTTTGCGATGAATTTCTCCATTCACTTCTGGAGATGAAGCATGGAAAATCATTTTTCAGAGGGAGAGGTTCAAGAGGAAGAGGAAGGGGGCGGGGACGGGGAAGGGGAAGAGGACGTAGTTCTGGGAAACTGATGGACCCGAAAATGAGTTTCCGAGATTTCTGAAGAAAGGCAGACCATCTTTCAGGAATTGTAGAGGAAGAGCACGCAAAATTTAGGTAGAGAACACCAAGATGAACCACCTAAACCTTTTCTAATACATTATTTACCCTTAACTCGTATGGTTCCTGTTTCATAGGTTGGGAAGCTGCTGCTGTACATCCTTCTTTTCCTCTTCTGTTTCCTTTTATGGTCAAGATTTTGAACACATTAATGTGGTATAATGCTTGCATTCAATCTATTATGTTATCTGAGTAAGTAGTTTTGACTGGATCCATAGTTTTTTTTTTTTCTTTTTTCTTTTTTATAGCAAAGTTTGAAAAATTACATTAAGATTAATGCTAAAAAGACTTGTATCTAAACTTGCAAATCAGGACAATTTAGAACCCTTTTGTAATGACTTTATTTCCTATGTTCTATTATAAAAATTATGCTTAATTATTAGCTACTATTTGTATATAATTTCCTTCTTCAAAATCATGTATTATTTTCATATATAAACAAGCATCCCAGACTATTATGATGACAACATTTTGCATTTTGTAGCAGAACTTCCTCCTGATTTCTCTGATTGATGTGTTAACAATTTGTATGACAATATGATAGCCTACTGAACATCATCACAAAAAGAAATAAACATGATCATCACGCAGCAAAAAACTCATTTTCATTGCTAGCACCATAATAACGTCTCAGCCTGAAGATGGAAGAGGCGGCAGCATGTGATTATGAGGTGGCGGGAGGGGCATTGACGACATTTGCATAGGTGGCCTTCCAAGCTGCTGCTGCTGCTGCTGCATCGGTGGTGGCGGTGGTCGCCTAAGCTGTGGCTGTGCTCCCATTCCCATTGGTGGAGGGATAGACATGGAATGTGTTGGAGCTTGAGGAGGTGGCGGAGGCATGTTTGGTGGAGGTGGTCGCAACTGCTGAACTGGTGGCAGCATGAAGGAACCAGGCATCATTTGAGCCTGTTGCTGCGGTTGACCCTGCCAGGCTTGTGGTTGTCCAACCATCTGCATAGGGGGGAAAGCCACCCCTTGCGGTGGTGGAGGACGTATTGCAGGAATCGGACTGGGAGCCATTGCACCATTTGCGAAGGGGCGTGGTGGCACTGGAGCTCCAAACGAACCATTAGGCTGTGCAACCTTGGGAAGTGTCGGAGGGCCACTGGCAAACAAAGTGTGAGGCCTACTCTTCTGGGGATTGCTAGCAGCCAATACTCTCTCTAACAATAGAAAAAGCCACACCAGAGGTAAACTAAGCAACAATGATGATAACCTTCTTTTCAGGTCACAATAGTTTGAATTCTGTTTATAACCTAAAAAAACTCCATAAAGTTCACAGAATGGCAAACAATTCTTACCTGCAGGTGTGCCGTGCCGCTCTCCCTTGGTATCTTTCTTATAGGCATACGAAACCGCAATTTGACGATTGCAAAGATACTGACCATTCATCGCCTGTTACGAAAGTAGCAAAAATTGTCTCAATCTTCATTCTTCTTTGAGGGATGTCTCTAAATAACATATCAAAACAGAATGCGGAATGTATTTGGGTGCATTGCTGCGCTTTCCAATAAGAAAAAAACATGACTTACCTCAATTGCTGCATCAGATGCTTCAAAGGAGTCATAGCTAATAAAACCGAACCCACGTGAGTTTCCTGTATCGGGATCCCTCATAATCTGGTTTAAAAAAGATGTTTCACGTGTCAGAAGACAAATGTGCATAAGATAAGACTCGGATATTTCAAGTTAAACAGCTCTAATACGTCCCGAAAAAAGAGCCGAGTAGAAAAGATAAATAGTGAACTATGTCCATAAGAAGAGAACAACAAAAAGTAAAACCGAGTCACTTTAACCAGATATTCCATACTAAAAAAATGAAGCATTCCAATGGTAGCTTGCATCTCGAGTAGACGTGAAATAAATCCTAGAAATGTAACGTTTAAACATGTATAAATGCATTGTTCATATCTCGGCCACCCTCCCTCATTATTTTGGCTAAAGGCCTTCACTTCATTAAATTGTAATAAGATCACTACCTTAGAGAGTAACTAGTTCTCTTGGAAATGAACCCTAATCTCCTAGTAACTAGTTTGCTAGAAAATGATCTCTAATCTCCTAGGATAAACAAAACATAAACGAGTAATGCGGTTTATCGGAAAAGTTATAACCTTAGGATTCGTCACTATGACCCCAAATGCACTGAAAGTATCGTAGAGAAGCTTCTCATCGACATCCTGAAAGAAACATCATGCCTTAGTACCAATATTCAAAACATTAGCCTTGCAAGTTTTCCAGTTATAATCAGAATAATATAACGACTTACCGGGTCAAGGTTTCCTATGAAGAGATTTGCACCGACGTCCAAACTTTTCTTGTCTTGAGATGCCTGGAATATGCCATGCACACATAATAAAAGTTAATATCATTTTTATAAGAAGACAAAATACCATATCAATATCAAAACACACTATAGCACACTAGTTGGAGAGAGAAACAATGCATTTCTTACAAGGGTGAGGAAACCTCTCCCTAGCAGACGCGTTTTAAAACCTTGAGCGGAAGATTGAAAGGGAAAGCCCAAAGAGGACAATATCTGCTAGCGATGGGCTTCGGTTGTTACAAATGGTATCAGTCACTGGATGGTGTGCCAGCGAGGATGTTGGGCCCCCAAAGGAGTGGATTGTGAGATCCCACATTGGTTGGAGAGGAGAATGAAGCATTTCTTATAAGAGTGTGGAAACCTCTCCCTAACAGACGTGTTTTAAAACCTTGAGAGAAGCTCGGAAAGGAAAGCACAAAGAGGAGAATATCTACTAGTGGTGGGCTTAGATAGTTACAAATGGTATTAGAGCCAGTCACCAAATGGTGTGCCAGCGAGGATGCTAACTCCCAAGGAGGGTAGATTGTGAGATCTTACATTGGTTGGAGAGGGGAACGAAGCATTTCCTATTAGGGTGTGGAAACCATTCCCTAGCAGACGTGTTTTAAACCTTAAGGGGAAGCCCAGAAGGAAAAGCCTAAAGATGACAATATCCACCTTGGAGAGGGGAACGAAGCATTTCTTATAAAGGTGTGGAAACCTCTCCCTAGCATATACGTTTTAAAACCTTGAGGAGAAACTCGGAAGGGAAAACCCAAAGAAGAAAATATCTAATCGTAGTGGACTTGGGATGTTACAATAGGACAAGAACAAATTTCCTACTTACTTTGTTTACACGAATTGGCTTCCCATAGAGCTTAATCATATTTAGCACCTTAATAGCCTGCAATGAATTAGTTGACAATGGAAAATCAAGATAAAATCCCAAACCACATAACTAGGAGGATCAAAAGGTTAAAGAGCCCATAGCATAACTTACATAATCTGCATCTTCCTCACTGCGAAACTCAATGAACCCATATCCTTGATGCAAGTTAGTGACTCTATCCTTTGGCACATACACATTGACTGCAAAATAAGAAATGGGGTACAATTTAAGGAACTATTCCAACCAAGAAGAAGGGGAGAAAAACAGCTAAAACAGAGTATTCAGAAATTTCCAAGAGTCCATTAAGTGAAGAAATGAACGAACGTACCAACTGGGCCGGCTTGAACAAACAGCTCCCAAAGCGACTCCTCAGAAACCTGCAGGAAACACACACAAAAAACAGGAAAATATAAATGAAATTAGAAGAACGGGGAAACCCTAAGCGCGGGGAGATTTGAACATGAATTGATTGATGAAGCAGGGAGAAAGAGCAGAAGAAAAGGAGGACCTGGGGATCTAGATTGCCGACATAGGCAGTGGCGTCTTGGTTCCTCTCGGGGGCGTGCTGGCCCAGAAGATTAGCTCCGACTCCCGGCGCTATCTTCGTCGTCATCTTCTCCGGCGAGCGTTTGGGGTTCACAAATTACAGACTAAAAACCTCTTGCAGACTCGCGAGTTGCGAGAGAGCTGAAGAAGTTTCCATGGGGTTTTGTTTGAATTTGGTTTTAAATATTTTAATTTTTTTTTTAAAATTAAATCTTTAATTTTTCCATCTCCAATTAAAAGTTATCATTTTTAGACAATAAAACCTTCACAATATTTTAAAAAATTAAATGTTTTTTACTCGAAATTTCCGTAGCAATTATAAAGTTCACAACTCAACCAAGCTCTCTATTTTCAAGTTAATTTATTAAATTATTATCTTTTTTTAGTTATTAAAAAAAATTATTTATCTCCGGCTACATCATGTTACATTAAAACAAACTCAAATATCAAACATATTATAAATGTTAATAATCTATATAATAATTTAAAAAGTAGAATTGAGAGGTAACCTTAACAAAAATAAATAAATAAATAAATAAAATAATAATAATAATAATAACAAGTTAACCTTTTATGATTTGGATTAAGGGTCGGAATTGATAATCAAAATTAACGACAAAGTAAAGACATTTGATGTTTGTGTAGAAATGTGAGGAAGTGTACGTGTACGAACGAACAGCCCAAACCCATTTTTGGAACTTTACGGATAGAACCAATGCATAGGCGAAATCCGCCGCCCAAAGCAACGTGGGTATGCACCTGGCCACCATTATCGCTACCTGGGTTCTTCGAAACCGACAAATCCCTCTTCCTTTCTCTTTCCCTCTACTATTTATTCATTCCCCCGCCATTATCGCCTCCTTGCGCCATTTCTTCTCTGTTTCCGCTCCGTTTCTCTCGCTTTTTGCCTCTTTACACGTTTCTCTCCACTGTCTTCCCTCTTCCCAGCATTCACATTCCAACAGATCTCTGTTTCAGGCCGAATTTAGAATCCTCACTCATCGGTGAGTTTGTCTATAGCTTGTTCTTTATATAGATCCGTTGATTTTGATGGGGTAACCCATCACATGATTTCTTGCATGCGTAGTTTCCAGATCTTCCATGGGTAAGGGTTTATTATTGTAATTTTGTGAACTGTGCTTCTTACATTGAGATTTAAACGCTTAATTGACGTTATTTCCTTGATATTCCGAAGAAAATGTAATTCCTCGAATTGATATCAACCACATTTTTGCTTGGGTTTTAGTGTATCGCCGTTGTTATGATAGTTCAGATCGCCATTTTCTTCTATACAAAGTGTTCTCTAATTTGATGGGGCTGACCATTTTATTTCTTCTGATTTCTTTTATATCTCTTGAAAGCAGGGTGAGGGTTTCAAAAGCTTGATTAAGAACAGGAGGGTAGATTCCAATCTGATTTGTTTGGAAGAAGGAGCTGTTTCCATTTGATTTTGTGGTGGAAAGGAGATATTATCTCCTCTTCTCTTATCCTTGAGATCTCCTTTTCTCCCTTTACCAGTTTCCTCTATCTTATTCCTTGAAGGTGTTGTTGGCCTAGCCATCCAATTTGAAGATATGCGGAAGCCTCAAGATCAACGGTCAAGGTCTACCAAACCCACTACTATTCATAGCTATGCTCAGTCTGGGGACGTTCCTAGCCTTCAAAAGCTGCTTCGAGAGAACCCTGGTCTTCTTAATGACAGAAATCCATTTGTATGGTCTCTTTCTTGTTGAGCTTTTTGGTATTTTTGTGAAGTTTTTGTTAACATTCTCATTTTTAAGTTTGTGTATTTGTTCATTGGGATGTAGCTTTCTTATGTGAACATGAATTGCTTTGGTGACATGTATTAGATAAGGACTTCTTCCCACGCGGTCAGATATTGTCCTCTTTGGGTTTTCCCTTTCGGGCTTCCTTCAAAGTTTTTAAAACATTTTTGCTAGGGAGATATTGTCCTCTTTGGGTTTTCCCTTTCGGGCTTCCTTCAAGGTTTTTAAAACATTTTTGCTAGGGAGATATTGTCCTCTTTGAGTTTTCCCTTTCGGGCTTCCTTCAAGGTTTTTAAAACATTTTTGCTAGGGAGAGGTTTTCACACCCTTATAAAAGAATGCTTCATTTTCCTCTCCAAACGATGTGGGATCTCACATTGGTTCTGGGTGAAAATTTTGGTGCTTGATTTAGTTTTAATGCTAGGCATGTGATGTCTCACATTGTTTGGGGAGGAGAACAAACCACCATTTATAAGGGTTTGAAAACCTTCCCCTAACAGACGAGTTTTAAAGCCTTGAAGGGAAGCCCAAAAGGGAAAGCCCAAAGAGGACAATATTTGCTAGTGGTGGATCTGGGCCATTACAAATGGTATCAGAGCCAAACACCGGACGATGTGCCAGCCTTCTCGGTCTTTCCCGAAGGGGTAGACACGAGGCGGTGTGCCAGTAAGGACGCTGGGCCCCAAAGGGGGTAGATTTGGGGGCGGTCCCACATCAATGGGAGGAAGGAAAGAGTGCCATCGAGGACGCTGGGCCACGATGAGGGGTGAATTGTGATGTCCCATATTGGTTGGGGAGGAGAACAAACCACCCTTTATAAGGGGTGGAAACCTTCCCCTAGCAGATGCGTTTTAAAGCCTTGAGGGGAAGCCCGAAAGGGAAAGCCCAAAGAGGACAATATTTGCTAGCGGTAGATCTGGGCCGTTACAATGAAATTCTGGAGTATATTACTTTAGCACTAAATATAACTTTTATCTTCCAATATTTCCACCCGGGATCTCTTCGGGTGTGTTTGGAGCTTCTTTTACTCTCTTCAGGCATGTTATTATTCGATTGATCCCATGTTAACCATCCACTTATATCCCTTCTCCTTTTTAAATATGAATTCTAAGAATACTCTCTGGTGTAAGACTAGTTACCAGTTTTCGTTTTGAATACATTGTCTCCGTTTCATACTTCTCCCGGTAACACGGTGAAGAAAATTGTGGCGTATCTTTTTGTAGATAATTTCAGTGCTGTTTCTTGCTCATTAACTTTGTATAATTCATGATATAAAACCAATTTATCCGTTTTTTGTTACCTTTGGAGCGAAACTCATGGATTTCGATGCCTACTTCAGATGGGACAGACACCACTTCATGTTTCTGCGGGCTATAACAAGGCTGAGATTGTTAAATTTCTTCTTGCCTGGCAAGGTCCAGAAAAGGTTGAGTTGGAAGCCAAAAACATGGTAGGTGTATATCATTCTTTGTTGGCGGTTGTGTTTTTAACGAAATTGAACCGTGGTGCTCAATTATTGTTTAGAGCTAACTGTCTCAACTCTCTGCAGTATGGAGAGACCCCATTGCATATGGCAGCAAAGAACGGTTGCAATGATGCAGCATCAATGCTACTAGCTCATGGCGCTTTTGTTGAAGCCAAAGCAAATGTGCTGTATTGCCTTTTAGTTCTCTCTATTTGATTGATTTTGTAACGAGTCGTTGGTTGAAGTCTCTGCTTTCATGTATTCTTTATGCAGAATGGGATGACACCATTACACCTTGCTGTCTGGTATTCACTCCAATCCGAAGACTGTGCTACTGTAAAGACATTGCTTGAATATAATGCCGATTGTAGTGCAACGGACGATGTAATATTCTTTAAACTTTTGCTTGCAGTATTGTTCGTTCTCCAATGTATTACTTACTTTGAAAGCGGTACTACGTTGACATGTCGTTTAAATGCAGGAGGGTATGACTCCCTTAAACCATCTGTCACAAGGCTCATGTAGTAAGAAGTTGAGGGAATTGTTGAACAAGCATTTAGAAGAGCAGAGAAAGCGAAAAGCGATTGAAGCGTGCAGTGAAACTAAAGCAAAGATGAAAGAACTTGAAAATGAGCTCTCGCATATCGTGGGTTTGCACGAGCTCAAGATACAGCTTCAAAAATGGGCTAAGGGAATGCTTTTAGATGAGAGACGCAGGGCCCTTGGCCTCAAAGTTGGCACCAGGAGGCCCCCTCATATGGCATTTCTTGGCAATCCTGGAACAGGTAAGTACTTATAGGAGGCAACAATTTTGTATAGCTGTTTGTTCCCTATCTTCTATATGCACCCCGGCGTCCCCACAAGACGTCATATTAAAATGCGCGGGAGATACTCGCATCCGTTCTTTTCAGTTATATATGGTTGCTTAGCTTGTTCGCATTAGCTAACAGGTCTTGTATATACCATTACGTTTCACTTATTGTTGTCATTATTTTTGAAAGGTAAGACTATGGTAGCTCGAATACTCGGGAAATTGCTTCACATGGTCGGGATCCTACCGACAGATAAGGTAACAGAGGTACAGAGAACAGATTTGGTTGGCGAATTTGTCGGTCATACTGGTCCAAAAACCAGGAGAAAAGTATGTCGTCGCGCATGCCTTATAGCCTCTCTTTTAATTTATTTGGAACATTGCTGTATTTATGAATGCTATCTCTTTGACTTCAGATCAAAGAAGCAGAGGGTGGAATTCTTTTTGTCGACGAAGCCTATCGACTGATACCGATGCAGAAATCCGACGATAAGGATTACGGTTTGGAAGCACTGGAAGAGATCATGTCTGTCATGGACAGTGGGAAAGTTGTAGTCATATTTGCTGGTTACTGCGAACCGATGCAGCGCGTTATATCGTCAAACGAAGGATTTCATCGACGGGTAACCAAATTTTTCTACTTTAATGACTTCAGCTCAGAGGAATTGGCAAAGATTCTCCATATCAAGATGGAGAATCAAACAGAGGATAGCTTGCTATATGGCTTTAAGTTGCATCCTACTTGCACCATAGAAGCCATTTCGGACCTGATCGAGAGAAAAACACAAGAAAAGCAGCGTAAGGAGATGAACGGTGGTCTAATCGATCCGATGGTAGTAAACGCGAGAGAGAATTTGGACGGGAGGCTCAGTTTTGACTGTATAGACACAGAGGAACTGCGTACTATTACAATGGATGATTTAGAAGCAGGCCTTCGTTTGCTAACACAGTAAGGTTGGTTGGTTGGTTCATGCAACATATTCAATTTCAAATGCTTAATGCATTCTTTGTGTGGTGATTAGGCGATTTCGAGGTGTAAGCAGCATCTCTGATATTATTACTGCAGCAAACTGAGATTACATATGCTTGGAGATTCTAAGTATTCGATGATTTGTGATGTTTTTGT